TCTATTTTTTTGTAATCTAGTATTTAAAGAAAAACATATTGATGCATTTTAGTGCTAAATGATGTAAAGGGTCACTTGTCAAATTTGTGCAGCATAATATTTTATTTCTAAATAGAATATGACCCATGCCATAGATATGGCGTTATAGATAAAATGTCACAGATTTTACATATTATTATAATTTACAAATACTTAATTTAATGGAAATTGTAATTTAATACGTCTGTGGTCAAAATAGTTTGAAGTTTACTTGTGATAGGAATCTTTGAAATCTATTTTGTAGGATTTGTGGAAGTAGAATGTTCAGTGCTCCCTCTCCTGGTTTTATCACATTGGTGAACTGACCTCACGTCCCAAACTGGTGATGATAGCCGAGAAGACAGTTCTGCAGAACCAAATAAGATGCCGTGATGTGATATCCTATTTCTGATTTGAGGATTACACATCAGTTCATAATGGTCAAGAAGCCTATCCATCATTAAAGTTCATTACATCCCAGAACAAAATGAGATCTACGGAAAAAACCCCCAGAAAATATGTATAATAAAGTTGATTTTATCTATTTTACTACAATTTATAATAGTAAGAGTGAATATGTAGTTCTTTGCTTGATTCTTGATCTACGCTATATTCTAGTGCTGCTTTCTTCTTGCTGATGGTCGTAGCAGAGCCCTCGGTTCCCTACAGGTATTCCCAAGCACACCTTTAATGCTCGAACGTTTGTAAGTTTAGCAGAGAAAAAACCTAGTTTCTACAGAATCACTTGTTATTGAAAAGGAGATTTCAATAATTACTTTGAACTAAAAATTTCAATACTCATATTTATATGGGATTTAATTCTAGAGTTTTATTTTGTTTGCTTTGTTTTCCCAAAGACTTTAAGCTACTTTTTATATGTAGTACCAGGAGAAAATGTTTCCTTTCCACTTACTATGGGTTTTTTATTTTCAGGTATTTTTTAAAAGTCTCTGTGGAACCTTAAATTTCACATATAGATATCCTAACTGCAGCATTAAGTATGTGATTTTGATAATAAATATCTACAATCCAATAGTTTCAAAGGAAACAAAAAGCAAGTTTCCTACAGATTAAAATGATCTTTCCCCAGTGACATGTCATACATGTATCAGTAAGAATTATAAAACTTATTGGTAAATTATTTCTATTTTAATTAGTTGCCATTTAGCTGATTTTAAAAATAAATGGGTTGGGCTTTTTTTTTTTCTTTTCCAAAAGTATAAAAATATATTACAAATTTGAAGGAATTTGGAATTTTAAAATTTGATTGACTTCTGGGAAATTACATCACAAATCAAGATGAAGCAAATACTATAAAATCTACAGCAGGAAATTTCAGCTCTATGACATATTGTTATACACACTTGCGGTAAGAAGTCCATCTTTCAAGCTTTCAGATTTTACATATTCTGTACTTTGCTTTAAATAGGAACTGTAATATTATATTATCATCTTTTTTATATCAATATACATTTCCTTTCTAGCTGATCAGAAGCGATGGCTTCACATACAACTTTTTAATCTTTTTATTCTTCAAAATGACTTTGTAATTCAACTTTAAAGGTAGAGCCCGTATTTTTTTTTTTTTTTAACTGAGAGTGATAACTGAAGATTGATGACTAAATTTAAAGGTATTCTTTTATGGCAAACTGCATTTGCGGGACTGTCAGAGGCATCCTGTTAGAGGATGTTTGTTATACCCGTGTGCAGGGCAACATTTCCAAGTTGGTGTACATGGAGCGAGAGGAAACGACTGTGGGGAAATCCTGTTCCAGGTTTTCGGGCAGCCCGTGTGATTGACACATGATATCACGGGAGGCGTGTCCTGGAGTGGAGGTGGAGGTGGAGGCGAGGAGCTGAAATTGTGCGGAGCCGGAGCGGGATTGCTCTGTAAGGCACGCAGTGGTTTGCAGAGTGATAGCAGCAGACACAGCTCTCTGCCCGGCTAAGGAACAGCTACAGCCGCTGTAAATGTGCCTGAAAAGCAATTTCCAACCTTTGCGTTAGGTAAGAGCCACTTCCTTCCTTTCCTTCCGTAGACGTTTTAGGAAAGATTAGGTGAGAAATGCTGGCTTTTGCAAGGAACTGAATGTTTTCTTTGAGCTCGCTTTATATCTGGTTGCAATTCGAATTTCCAGTAACCTTCCCACTGCTAAAACCAGTGCTCTTAAAGTAAATGCTGTCGCTGGGAAAAAAAAAAAA